TCCTGCATTCCTCGACACAATACAAATTAATATTCATTGATGCAAATAATATCTAATATTGTATTCTCCATGAATTTAATTGTGCCAGTTTCATTATGGCATTACTTGCACTTCGAAGATTACCGTATTGAAGTGGGATTATTATTAATTATTTCTTATAATATGCACAAAGGTTGCCAATATCGGCGGGTGGAATGCATGAGCTTTGTTCGTGTATTGTCTCTGGTTGGTTTAGAATGGTTGGCAGGGGCGAGTATTAGGTCGCCTTAGATTGTCTAAGGTTGCGGCCCAAGCGCATCTTAAACGGTATTATTAGGTTTCCACGGTATCTACAAGCTGTTAGCAAGGCATGCAAGGTACGGTGATATATCTAAACTTGAAGAGGGGCGCAGAAAACCTATATATTGTCTCCAGAGGGATTTAAATATCAAGATTGGAGTGAATATGTAATATATTGCCAACGTTCTGGAATCGGCTAGAAGTGAACCTCCCTTTACTTAACTTTTCAACTACTGAGGATTTAAACCGTTAAAAATGATGTAATCTTTGATAAAATTAGATAAAATATTAGAATAAATCAAAAAACTATTAAAAACATATTTTAAGATATTGGGTAAAGAGATAAAGTATTTTTTGTTAAGAAAAATATCATAAAATGAGACTCCCTGTGGAATTATTTGAATTTTCTTGGTTAGAAAGGAGTGGTTTGGAGGATTTACAGCCATAGCAAGCTTTACATACTCCAGAAGTAGATACGCTACTTCATACATGCATAACCATACGGTGGGCACAGTTCAGCGTATGAATGGCGGCTATTCCACCTGCTCCCGTTCCTGGATTCCGCCCGCGACACTAAACCGTTTGCGAGGAGCGCCGTAACTCCTCGGTTACTGTTTTATGATCACATCCGGCGCGCTGTGAGTATTTTCCATCTTTTATCAATTCCAGCGCCGTTTGCACAATGCGCAATCCTTGCACGTGGATATAATGGCGCAACCGATGACCGATAGCGGTAGCGACAGATCAATCAGTAACCGAAATAAAGCCTCATTTAGTAATGCGGGAGCCACTCTCCATTACAGATTCCGCATGTGTGTATTATCGCGGCGGTTGGTCCTACATGCATTATCAAACCACGTTGAGCACTAAATCAGCCCCTAACTTGGTCCACGCGCACAAATTGATTGTTCAAATACAAATAGATTTGCTTATCTAGACATCGCACACGCCAGTTACCCTCATTCGATCGAAGAGGTTCTTTCATAAACTTCTCCCACCTCTCGGAATATATAATGATGGTGTTAAGGGAGTCGATACTCTCATAGAATACACGCACGTTGCATGCACATTCATAAATGCCACGTGGCACAGGCACACAAATTTGTTTAAGATAACTTTTTACTGCGTATACTGCATGGCAGTTTCCGGCAGATTGGTTAAAGTGTCAGTGGGTGGCGGCAGGTGGTAGGGAGCGGTTTAATCAAGGCACGCGTGTCGCTGAAAATATTTCAGATGGCATGCAGAAATGACGAGTGAGGAGTTTTTGCGCTGTGCAGACGAAGGGTGGTGGTGATGGCAACAACGAGCAGCAACAGGAGCAACGGCAGGAATAACGACATCAAAACGCGTCGACAAGCTGAAGAAGTCCTGTTGGATGCAGTCAAGCGTGCCGTAAATTTCATCTTGGAATATATTACAATTTTTTTCTGTGTTGCAAAATACAGGAGACAATATAAAACGTAATTTAAGAGCATTCAAATTAAGTTGCAATTTTTTCCAATGCATCTATTGTTTATAAAATTGGCGGATACCCAGATTGCACCGCGGGGATATAATTAGCGATCATGTAGGCGGTTGTTAAAACGGAAGCATTCAACTGCGGGGTTGCTGATTGCGCACGCGGGTAATAACATGCGTTTAGATTCATGTGTGCATGCATGGTTGACTCGTCCCCTCGCAATCACAGGTGAACTCAGAGATTTCCACTGAAGCATGATGGTATTCTCCACATGCGAAGCAGTATCCTACCGAGCAGAATCTCATTCAAACTTTATGCGCAATCAAGACTTAATACAAAATCATAAATCAAAAGAAAAGCATAAAAAGCACACGGTTGAGGTTATGATATGACGCGACCTCATGTTACTACTACTGCTGCATATGAACAACATAACCTATGAACAAACTTAAAATCCATATCAAATACGCAAATGTTTTATAGCTGATTTCACCAGCATTGCTGCACCACTGACATAATGCACTGCAGGAAAATGAAGCGTGTTTATCTATGCCACGGGGCGCTAATGAGCGGTGCGCGTGAATGATTGCTTTAGTACGTATTTTATAGTCGGAGTATAGTGCAGTGCGTCGCAAGAGAGTTGCGCGAGTTACGAGGGCAGCGACTGCGGCGATAAATGAGACCAGGATATTTCCCCTGTCGAATGTCCCAGTAAACTCTGACCTCCATCATCTGCTACCACGCGTACCATGGATGTAATGGATCATGACCAGCGTGTTATTATATGACACAACCATAGGTGAGGCGTGGCGGTGAGAGCAGTAAATTATGAATTTCAGGTGGAACTGAAGAGGTTTCGGCGTTACGCCTGCGTAAAAACCAATTAATATTGCTTTAATCTACGACTTCGTTAGCATAGGGTTTGCATACCATGTATATATAGACGTGGGAGATAAGAGCACGCTGGGTTTTTTTACGACGCTGAGTTTGTGTGTGATTTATATTGCGATTTCAATTTGTATGCTAAATTTTGTAGGTAAAATTGAATACTTTTTGAACACACATCTTTTCTATAACGGATATGTTAAAATACATTTTAACAACTCTGTTATTATGACACATAAAGCGTTAGTGTAATAAAATGTATAATAAATTTTACGTTTCATTGTTGAGGAATCAGCAACATTGTGGTACATTTGAAATAAAATGTGAAAAATTGTCTCTTGGATAAAAACTAACGGTATTGTCTGATTATATTAAAATTACGCATTACAATGCACTTTATGTACCAAAAATAAACTTTGTTATTCTTTGTTTATTCGCAAGCCAAACAACGAGTATGGCTGAAGCAAGTAGTAGAAATAATGTCGTTTCGAGAAAACTTACCGGGCTGAATGACGTCGGCGTCATCTCGTCAAGCAAAACCCACGCCGAGCTAGAGCTCCTGTCTAGTGTACTGCAATTTCGGTGGGAACAAAACATTTGGAGGTAATTAGTCAGAAGGCAGTCAACCCTCATCACGGACCAGAGCGCACACTCAGCGTCGGCAGTTTCGCAGGGTGTGAGAACGCGCCTTAGGGGCACCTCAATTCTGAAACCCCAGCTCATATTACATTCATTCAGTATTTCTCCGGTAGAATTGATTTCATGGAAAAGTCTCAAGGAGGAATCCTCAGAAATTCCAGGATGCTTCAAATGCTCATTGTTCCCACTTAAAGTTAAATTAATTGCAGAAATGGTCATAATATAATATCGTAGAAAGCCATTTGTTGTAGTCGCAAACAAATTGCAAACCTACATTGTGTTTGTTATTTGTAAATGTTTGACCACGTATATTGGTTTTTGCGGTTTCGGGTTGACACCCACGCAACTTTATGACTGTGCAACAAAGTAGAGTTTTTGTTCACATATTACACCAGATAGTTGTTTTCGCTCTGGAGTTGTAATGTTGTTTTTTAAGCGCTTGGGAATGATGACCATATAACGAATACAACAACACTTTGCCCGGAAAGGGGATAAACGCGACGATTTGTTGCGCGCGCGACACATTTCGACTGGTGTCGCATTATGGCGGCCACGAAAAGCGTGCAAAGTTGCGTAGAGAATTTATGTCGCACATTTGTAAAAACGACCCCGACGCGTTTATTTATGCGTTATTGATGTGCCGTGTAAACTGCTTCAAAACACGCAGTACACAGAAACAAACAAGAAAAGTTATAACTTGAAAAGCGCAAAATAAGTTAGAAATAAAAACGAATATAAATCATAAATGAATATGTTTTACACAATTTTTATTACAATAATCTGTAAATCATTTATTATAGAAATATGTATTTTACCGATAAACACTTCATAGAAAATTTTTATAAAATATCAAGAATATTTATCTTGTTTGTCGTCAAACGGATATCCTTTGCTTTTCTAGGAAAACAATAATCGATCCTCTTCTTGTTTACAAATGTCTTTATCCGCACATGTATATTTCCAAGTAGAGAATCAAACGTAAAACTTAAGAAAAGATTTATTTTCTCCAGGATTCTCCCGGAAAAATATGCAGCTTGAAATTTCCGCCCATGTTCATGCAGGTAGAATAATAGTTGAAATACCACGTATTCGCAAAAGTAATACCCCTCATGTTCCCTGTCTACTGATTGCGGACGTTTTATAAACATAATGCCAGCATACACAAATTCCTCACCACTTCTTCTGATAACCCAAAAAGTTATTTCCATTGTGTCACGACCCCGCATAGCTCAACCTCACCGTCGGACTTGTGAACGACTATGTTCAAAATAGGGTTATAATGTGCACAAGTGGTGCTGGTCCGTAATGCTGCAATGTTTCGAGGATAATCGCCCCGCTCGCAAGGGTTGGACGGAAAGATAAGTGGCGCCCGCATGAAAAATGCACGGATGCTTTACCGGTTTTTAAGCAATCTGCGAATCGCGAATCCTTTTTCCAGTGTGCGTATTTTGTGTCCTCGTTTTTTTTTCGAGTGTGCCCATACGTTTTCACATAGAGTGGCCTGCAATTACCTAATGAAGCCGAACAGAGAAAAGAATTTACATTCGCGCATCCGGGAAGAGCCGCTATAAAAGAAAGACCTAAAGCATCATCAAATCGAGCAAATTCAGACGGATTTTGGAACAAAAATCTTCTGTATACCTAAATTTATACCCGTTTCAAAGTTTTCAATGTAAGTAATAAATAAAAGAAAGAAACCCGGAGAGGTTAATTCTATTTAAATTTGCAATTTACTCACTGTTTGATCTGAGCTGCATACTTTGATGCCCGAAAGTGTCACAAGAAGAAGAATATCGGTTCGTTTAGTCTCAGACTGGATCTGAAAATTAAAAAAAAAGTTTTGTTGAAGAAAGAATGAAATTTATGTAAATAACAATTTGTTTGTTATGTCGCATATGTATACATGCGTAGTTAGTTTTTTATTCTGTGAGTGGTGGAAACTCTTCAAAGCTCTTTGCATTCTTTGCGCCGAGTCACAAAAAACACAGCTTTGTGGAGGCGCTGGGCAACAAATATGAAAGTTTTTGCGTGATTTATACGTTTAAAATGTGTTTGCGCGCAAAGCTCGCGCTGACAGAAATAGAAAACAACAACACCACAATTCAAACCCACTGGTGTTTCATTTCAATGCTTATTTATACATATTTATACATCGAAAACAAAATATAAATAAGTACAAGACATAAAACTGATAAATTTTGCAGAATATTTAGAATTAAATAAATTTTTAATGCTTAGATAATTCTATTTCAGTTATATTAACAGTCGTAGTAGATTACAAGATATTCATGCGCAAAACGATTACTTGTTTGTGCTGCTTTCATCGTTTGTTATGTTGTTGCTGTTTGCTTGTAGCGGGCGCATTACACACACAACCGAGTATTTGTTTGTCTGCCTGGGTGTGAATTTAACTCGAGCGCGGGTTTGAGAAATGCCCTCTATTTAGCGTTGTTCGTTGATGGCGGATGATGTAGAGCGTTTTCGCCGCAACTCGGCACATTCTGCCAGACACTCTCTGTCTGTCTATTTTGGGAGGCTGCGGATGGCTCTGTCCCGCTGCTGGTCGCGCAAAGATAAACGCGTCGAAACCGCCCTCGAGGTTTTTAGTTAATGCACGCTTCTTCCAAGCGCTGCGAATGTTGTGATCTATTTGCAAAATGTGGTGTGTGACGCGCCCCTTCTGATGTTGTTTATGTTGTACAGTGGACTTGCCAAAAGTGGTAAAGTGGCGAAGTCGCCAAGAAAAACGTGAAGACTAATTCTTAAAAATTTTCAAGATTTTTACAAAATTAAATTAAGCCTCACAAACATATTATTGAATTTTTTTGTGGTGTTATAATTGTGATGTGATAGTTACGGACGTTAAAGGTGGAAAGAATTTGATCTGATCGACATGTTTGCGTTGAGAGTTATAGCTGTTTACTCACGTACGCATATTGGTCGGAAAATATAGCAGGATCGGATATTTATGAGCGCCGTTAAGTTGGCTGATTGGAATAATCGAACGGTACGTAATTCGATTTGGCCGAGTGGCGACCGAAGTGGCCGCCCCCACCTTTGCTGCAGCGCCGTGTTCGAGGATGCGCTTCATTCCGCCACAACGGCTCGAAGTGTTTGTCCTGGCGGAGCGCGTGGGGCCTTCTTCTCTGAAAACCTAATGTAGCGATAAATCAAACCGACAGCGCAAAGTAGTAACCACCGTCGGCGTAGGGACTATCGATAAAGGAACTCATATAGCTACTAATACATTTTACATACAGTAACTTGTAAATTTTGCAAAATATTTTTCTAAAAAAATTGTATATTTTTAAATTTTTACATATTCTGTTAAAACAAAGTTGGTATATGAGAATCAAACCATAGGGAGGCATAACACTCGATATTATGTAAGAAGCGCAAAAGTTTTTTACGAGCGCTTTTAAAACGTGCGTGCACACTTTGGAAGAGCCTAAAACCAAGCGATTACATCATACGCTTCGATAAACTTAAAAACACTTTCTCCATTTACACAACATTGAGTCGAGAATATATTGCTGCAAAGACGATACTCCACTGTTTTGCAAAAACACTTTTCGAAACGAAAATATATCGGTTGTGTTTCTTTTCTCGCATTTTTTAAGAGCTAATTATTCTATGCTTTTAATCAAAAAACAATTTCCTTCGATTGCTTTCCAGCTAAAAATCGGAATTTCATTAACATTTAATTAAACAAAATTGAACAACGGAATGCTCAATGGGGCGCCACGAGTGTACATTTGCATCTTATTTAGTGTATTTTAATTCGACGATCTTTGTGCTAATTGAAATCGAGCGTAATTAAATTCTCGTTAGCATTTTCTTCCTTGGCAGGTTAAAAATCACGCCAAACAAAGCCAAATTTCAATGAGAAAATTAAAATATTATATAGCTTGCACAGCGTAAGCTAGGATTTAAACTTTGCGATCGCAGGTTATTGAAAATTGGGCGCAAATTATGATTGTTTGAAATTTCCAATCGCCAGGTAGTTAACGTGGAGGGAAAAGCAGGAAGCATACAAGTCATTGTGTTGCGTACAAAGACTTTGCGTTCTACACGTTTGTTAAATATTCGGATGGGCTGTTCGTAGCAAAAGCCGCAACGCGCCGCGACGCACGCAAAGTACAAAATCGATCGCCCACGGACTGCGAACAAGGCAGCGCGACTTCTACGCGACACGAGTATTTTCAAAATCAAATTTTGCACAACGTTTGAGCATCTAACGTAGCGGAAGGTAACGACGTCGAGACGGTTTGTCGCTTTTCGACGCACAAAAACCGCATCGCTTGTTGCCGACATCAGCTATTATCCGTAATAGCATAACTTATTCAATCAATTTTCTATCAAACTACAGCAACTGAAATATATTTTAAACAATTGCAGAAAATTGCTTCAAAAATTAAATTTTTACTTCTAAAGTAAGCAAAACTTTACATTTTTTATATAAAAATTTGCATCGCACTTAGGTGGATAAGAAATTCAGTTGTGTTTTTGAATATTTTATGCCTTATGTTATTTTATTTTCTTGTAGCAATCAGTAGAAGTAAAAGTGGTAAACCGTTGGCGTCAAAATCGTCGGAAAAGTTTAATGCCACTCTTGATTTTTTGGTCGTTTTACGAGCGCGGTTTCCCCAGTTAAGCAAAACGCTGGAAACGCGCTGATACTTCGTGCGCCAACTATCCTGGCATTTACAATTCGTCGGAATAGTACAGCGTACGTTTTCGGTAATTTAAGTCGCTTCGACCAAACCAGACGGGTGCCAATTTTATCGATTTTTTATTACGAAACTTTCCATATTGGTTCTTTTCCCATTCGAGCAAAGTTCCGGCTCTCTAGCCCGAGTCAAACTTGTCTGAATGTGTAGGTATGTTTTATTTTTTTAATTTAACTTCCGCTTCGTTTTGCAAAGCCTGAAGACCGCTGCTGCGTCCGCTAAAAAGTCCGCATTCATCGCGTAACAATCAATATAATGAGAATTATTGGAAAAATCTTGCAAGTCCTCGAATCGCAGACTCGACCCCATAACGAAACCTCATTATGCGAAAAGAAACTTTTTATTCGATTTTAACGAAGCTTGAAGGACCCACGCGCGACACAACCAGAAATAGTCGCCTGTGTAAGTGGATTATTAGTAGTGGTGAGCGGCGCATTCGACAAATCAAGCGGGGAATTTCGTATAATAACTGGAAATAATTGAACGATGTCATACTCCGAAGTCCTGGCCGTCGGCAGCCTTTAATAATGCATCCTGCGCTCCCCTATTGAACTGCTTATTAGTAATATATTTGTCTGTTATTGGTGCAGCGTTTTCAGTTACAGTCGTGATTGACAGTGGAATTTCATAAAGTTTAAATGCCAAATTCAGAATGAATTTCAGTGGCTTTGTATTATTCAAACGTGGAATACGCAATAGAAAGACACGTGCAGTCAATAAATGCCGACAGAAGCACATACACAATATGCCAATAATTTTAATATAATAAATTAATATAAAATGTTAAGATTTTTATGGATACTCTAAAAGTGTCGCTTGCATTTTTACTTGGAAAATAGCTCTAATATTATAATGCGTTGTTCTTCGCGCGATGTTAAAGCTGGAAAACATTGAAGCGTTCTAGTCGTTCCAGCTTGTGCATAGTTTATGAATAATAAGAGCTTCCGACCGTTCGCCACGTGAAACTACAAATTCCAGCAACCTCGCTTTCTGGCTCGCAGTGAAGACACGCAGCGTCGAGAGGACGACAAACGGTAACTTTTCCTTTTTGTCGGCGCATTCGTGGGCTCCTTTTCCCACATCACTTATCCTCCGCTGCCGCCGCCGCCGCCGCCGCGCGACATTATCTCTCTCCTCGTAATTCTCCTCAATGGACCGTCGTTACCTTAAATTATATCCCCGGGGAGAATTTTAATATAAAAACCTGGCGTGGCCAGACAGACGAAAGCTCATTTTTCGCTGTTTGCAAATCACACTCCCGAGGTGTTAAATTAGCTCAACAAGTACTAATTTCGTGAAGAAAGAAGTGCCCACGGCAAAAGTCACAAAAAATAAAAAATAAGTGACCAGTTAAATTGAATGCTAGAAGAGTAAAATGAAATTCTCACAAGTAAGGTAATAATGCAGGTGGTATGCAGTTTTATTTCTGGTTTCATTTTTTTTCTATACATTTAAAAGCAGTTTATCGAACAGGGAAGTATTGCAGTAACCCTCGCGGGTGTAATAAATTTAAAGTGATCTGCAAGGTGCTTCCAACTCTCTGCGCGTGTCCGTACATAAAGACGCGTCGCTCTCCCACTTCCACCCTTGTGGAATCCTTTAAAAAACGATTAAATTATACTTTGGATGATGAATTTTCATAAATCTTTCCCGAGCGCGCCGGTCGTCGAGGTAGAAAACTTAAACCATAAAATTTCTATTGCGCATCTTATTACAATACAAAACATAAAAATAAAATTCACAGCAGTTTCGCGCAATATTAAACTTTCGCAAAAAATAAATATATAGAAAGATCTAATCAAATGTTTTGAGATAGTCTGATTCTGTGAGTGGAATCGCTGGTACGATAGGAAGAAGATTTGTAGTTGAATGCATAAACCAAACTTCGCAAAAGGTTTGCCGTTTCTCTGCCCCCCTGTGAAGAACTACGCGGAGAGGTAGTAGCACACCTCTTCATGTACCTTCTTCGCTCAACCTCACATTACGCTATCTCCACATACTCGGCTTGAATATAAACTAGTGGAAGCATGCGAACTTCGGCGCGTAACTCAAAGCGGAAGCGGAGTTTTCCCAGCTAACCAAAGCCCGT